TCGAGGAGAACGGTTAAACAGGACACGTGCTGCGTCCTGCCCTCTGTGCTGTATGTAAAGCTATGTGCAAAGAGGGCCAGGAGCCACGCCAACTGTAACGACCTCCTCGGCGCTCCGGCCTCCGCCCTTTGTCCTGCGACTGTGTTTGGGTGTTTGCATTTTAAAATCATCCCTCGAAAAACGCTTTGCCAACTTCAATTTCAGTCGCTGTCATTTGAAGCGACCCGTTAGCCCTCCCTTTAATACAATGCACGACCTCATGCCTCCAGCACAGTGGTCGACATATATGTATACACTTGTTGAAAAAAGTTAGTAAGTCAGAAATTTGTTTATATTTATAATGAATTTTGAATTAAGCGTGTTTCTACAACAGTGAAATTGTTCGCTTGGGCCCAACTTTATTATTTTAAAGGCTGATTTCTTTTTGAATTAGAATTGAAATATTACACATTAATAAATTGAAATTGAAATTAAAAATATACTACTTCAATTGTGAATAGGAAAAGCATCTGCTCAGAGGTACAAATGAAGCCTAATAAATTCTACAAGCTTGATGAATTTTATCCAATTTAATTGAAAGCTACGAATACATAATACTTGATCGGTCAATAACATATGCCTAAATTTCAAGAAATTTAAATGCAAATATATAGACTCTTGTGCCACTGTGCGATTCTCTGCGTTGTCCTTTGGGAATTGCCGGCGCTATTTGGTAACCCCATTTGGCCTGCATTTTGCGCGCTTTTTCGATTTTAGTCCTCTGTGCATAGCAATTCATGTTGCGATTGGGGTGTCCCATGTCGTCCACTGCGGACCACATTGGTCCAGGTAGCCAGCGGGCGTTGCAAGTGGCCAGATATGTGTTTGTGTTTGTGCCACTGTCTATGTCTGTGGCTCTCGTTTCAGGCTTTGGGTTTGTTAATTTTTTATTAGATTTGTTGCAGCGTCTGCACTGTGCCCATAATTTTTGTGTGACTGTGTATGGCAAATTGTTGCTTCTAAAGCGGCTCACTTCCCCCACTTTCTCTCTTTCTCTGTGCACTTGGCTCACTTCGACGTTGGCGAAAATTCAATCAAAAAACTACAAGCGTAAACAAGTGGGTAACATGGCCAACTCATGTATCGTTTCCACTTCAATTTTCAAGTGTTTTCCTTTCTGTTCAAGCCGCATTTTTGTTTTGGGTATGTGCTGTGCTTTTATCGTTGTGCCGCATTTTTGTTTTCCTTTCGAATTGAAAATCGCAGCTGGCAAAGTTTGTTTTTGGCCAGGTTTAAACTGCCTAGCTGGCAATTTGTGACTACACCCCACTCAGCCATTCCAGCCACACCTCTCAGCTCCTTAATACACCTAACAGCTGCGCTAAGTCCTGGCAGGGCTTTGGCTCAGACGCCGTTCAAGAAGTATTTGCACGCATTTTGCGGCCTAAAAGTATTCAAAGGCCTAAATTACTTGGCGAACACCGCTGCTGCTGCTGCTATCTGCTGATTTTTTCATCTATTTGTTTTTGTTGTTTGCGTGCTCTACCATATGGAGGGTATTTTGTTTCTCTGCTGTGACTTGCCTTTCGCATGATCACTCTTTACAAATATTAACAAAAGCATATGCTACTTATATAAGCTGGTTAAACAAGCTGTTAAACAAGTGATGTGGTGAAAAATTGGTTAGTCAGATAGTCAATTAGTCAGTCATACAGTCAATAAGCAAGTCAGTCAGTCAGTCATTCGGTCAATTAGTGGGTCAAGCAGCTAGGGAGTCGGTTAATCAGTCAGTTAATTAGTTTGTCCGTCAAACAATCAGTCAGTCAATCGGTTATATATTTACATATTTTAATAAACCATGTGCGAAGCATTAAATCAAAGGTCTGTCAATCTGTCAGACCGTCAATTACTTTGTCAATCATCTAGTTGTATATTTAAACGATACATTAACAGTGTAAAGCATTAGTCGGTCAATCAATTAGTTAGTCAATCGGTTATATACTTACATGAGATACAATCTGTACAGACAGATCATTAAATTGAATGTCTGCCAATCAGACATTAATTCGATCCATCAGTCAATCAACTAGTTGTATATTAACATGAAATATGACATGTATTATATTAAGTGTGTCAATCACACAGTAAGTAAATCAATCGGTCCGCTTTTAAGTTAGTCTATCAATCAGTCAATCAAAATAGATATTTATATGAATATGACCTCTGCACAGCGTTCAGCTAAAAGTCAGTCAATCACACAGCTTATTAGCCAGTCCGTCAATCAATCAATCAGTTGTATATTAAGTCTGTCAATAAATCGATTATATATTCATATGATATATAACTTTCGCAGAGCATTAAGTCTTCGACATTTCCAAAAAATGTTTGCTATTTTGTTTTTATTGCTGATTGTTCCACTTGTTTTTGAGGATAACAATAAATTTTTATTGTTGTTACGCTCGCCTTTCGCTTTTTTGTTTGTTGTTTATGTTTCGGTTACAGTTGGGTTTATTCTTTTATTTTTCGTCTTTTTTTTTCTAGGGGGGTTTTCGCTTTCGCGCTGTGGTTGGGCTACCCGACAAGAGTGGCCGCGTCTAATTTATTGATTTCTGGCTTTTTTCTATTTCTATTTTGGCAAAAAAAAAAAAAAAAAAAAAACGAAAAAGTTTTTGGCGGCTGCGGCGATGACTGCGGCTGACAAATGGTTTGAACTTTGTCAAAAGTTTTCATTTTCTCTAGTTGTTGCTGTTGTTGCCCCTGTCGAGGAAAACTTCATTTAATCTAATTAAATTGCTGCACAGTAACTGTAAACTTCATTAAGTTTTTCGTACAGCTTCTACACATCTGTTGTTGCCAACAATGAGCCAAGTTAATGTACCCGAACATTGTCAGGGTCTAGCGGGAAGTTGGGGCGGTCTTTCATTGTGTAAATTGTCATAACTATAGCTATGTTTAAAGTTGTTGTTGTTGCAATTAGCTGTGGCAGCTGGTTTTTCCTTTAACCTGTTGTGCTTTCAACTTTCGGGCAGAACTTTTTGGCTTAAGCAGTCGGTTGCATAGTTTTTCATAAGGTTCTTTGCCAAGTTTTGTCTAGGAAGTTGTCGTTGTATGCCAAAAAATAGCATCGAAACATTTGACTACAGTCATTCAAATGGGTTTCAAGTACAATGGGCAACAACTGCTTGAGCATGCTTTACAATTCCAACTAGGTGGTGTTGGCTGTGTCAAGCCTTTGCACTTTCCATATATGAAGAGCACTTTATGCCAATTGCCAGTCTTTAATTAAATACATTTAAAATGCTTAATGTAATCCGATTAGTTTCTATAAATATGCCATGAAAAATAAGCGGATTAGCTTCAACTCGTACAAAGAAATGCAAGTGGCACAAATCCGCTTAGAGCGCATTACAAGTTTATGAATTTTACGGGCTACAAAAATGAATGAATAATAATTAAGTTAAATGAATCAATTAAAATTCGATTAAGGAAGCTACTTACTGGATATATTAATTTAACAAATATTACTTAATTATATTTTTAATTTTCTAATGAATTTTTGGCCATTTAAAAGCATATATTTGTGACATTAGATCTCAATTAATTCTCTTTAGCGCAAATTTTTTGGACCCAAAATACAAAAAAATAAATAAATGTGGAAAAAAAAGGATGTATTTATAGATATTGTATAATTAAGTCATTTATAATTCTGTTTTTTTTTAGAACTGAATCGCCGTAACACACTTCCACAAAGCCTTTTCTCAGGGTCTTGTTTTATTTCGAGTTGATTCCCTTTTCCTTTTGATTTTCAGTATGGTATATTTCCCATAAAGTTTTATGCGCTGCTTCGCTGGCATAAAAGAAATCTGTAGAAAAGCGTCCTATGCGTGTGTTTTGCTTATGCATTTTCCATTGTGCTGCAATAACCCGCAAGTTTTTCTTGTAGTGCAGTTTGTCATAATTTGCAACTGCTGCAGCGCATTGGAGCGACTACCATGTTGCAGCTCTTACCACAACTCGCTCCACACTTGTTCTTATTAACTGCTCAGCCATTTGTAGTATTGGAGTTAATACAGTTTGGGAAACGGGTTGGGAGGGCGATTGCAGGGCAATGGCTTGGCATTTGGAGTGCATGTCCTTGTTGCTTGTTGCTGTTGTCCCTATAGCTGGCGTTCTTGCTGTCCTTTGACTATGTCGCTGCATAATTTATGACTGCTTAGTTGCAGTTGGCTTTTTTGTGCCACCGCCGCCTGCTGCTTGCCACTTGCCACATGCCGCATGCCGCATGGCACTTGCCACTTGCCACTTGCTGGCAGTTGTGCAGTGCACTGCCAAGTGCTGACCTCTCTGAGCGTAGCATGAGACGTCTGTCTCATGCCTCAGTGCGTGACAGGACTACTAAATCAGCTGCAATTCGATGCGATTGATACCCTTTGCATTTGCATAGGTTCAAAAGGACTTTAAGCGCCGCGGGTCAATTGGAAATGGCCCGAAGTGCGGCAGCACTAACTCAATTATTAAACCATTTCATTGGTCAGCCAGACCAGTTGAGATTTACAAGAGATGCCCAATGTCCGATGTCTGATGCCCGCAGTCTACACACACCACCCTTCGCCCACACACACACACACACATTACAAGCAGCTAATAAATTGTAGTCCTTTAGCATATGGAAAGCATAAGGACCTCCCTTGAATACTGCTGCCCACCCGCAGGGCATAAAATGTGTTGCTGTTGTTTTTAGTAGCTGCGGCTCCAGCTCCAGCTCTTGTTCTTATTGTTGTACTTAATTAGTGTTATGGTAGCAGCGGCCACAACTCATCTGAAATTTATTAAAGCTGGCACATTTCAGCGCCGAGCGAATGAAATGCGTCATTAATTTTAACCCAAGCAAACAGCACGATAAAATTGCCATAAGAAAGAAAGGAAATTTGTTACAATTTTCTTTACGATCTTCTCTTATGCAACTATGTATAAAAAGAAAATCGCAAAAATTGTTTAAGATTTTGTAGTAAGTAATGCAATTTAAGCTGATGTGTCTTGTATTTAAGTGCATGAAAATTCTGTTATAAAGAAAAGCTATACTTCAAATCTGATCTTTCTACAAGAGATATATTGTATATATTAAGTATAGTTTTTTCAGACAACTATAACGACTACATTATCATGATTTGCATGGCTAGCCAATCGTGATAGTCTTCGCCCGTTAAGGTGAGATATTGGAAAAAATTATGAAAGTGAAATTCTCGAGATTTTTGAACTGCATTGGCGAATCTATTAAAGAAATAAACAGTAAAATATTCAGCACGGCCTGTGGCGGCCCTCGATCTGCGTATAATTTCACGAGCCTCCGACTCGAAGGTCGTGTAACGTTGAGCGTTGCCTTTCATGAAGCTGGCGTTCATGTTGTCATAGGCGCCTTTTGTGTATAGGTTGAGCTGTTCTGTAACCTGTTGAGATCCGTTTCCCTTTGGCAGCAGATTTCTTACTTGGCTGCTAAACTGCTTTATGCCGTTGTCATCTGTTGGCAGGGTCGCAACTCTGGGTGTCCATTGTTCGATAAAGTCGTTCCATTTAGTTATTTCTTCTTGATTCGCTACCTCACAACTCACAATCAATTGGGCTAGCGAGAGGCAGAAGTTGACGCTATCCTGTCTGATAAGCTTCTTAGTGTTTCGGGCAGAACGGGCCAGTTCTTCTCGGAGATCTTCAGTTGGAGCGGCGGCGCCTACGAGGCTCTGCATGAAGGTCGAGACTTACAGAAACTTCCGAGTCTGGTCTTGATACATACCAAAAGAGCGATACCAACTGCAAGCGAAGAATGCATCTTTAAGAATGCTCACACAATCGACTTAACAACATTACCAATATATATTTTAGGAGGCAATTAATATATACAAATAAAGATCTGCTTTTCTTAGAAACGTTGAAAATTATCGCACATTCAAGCCGGGGGTCAATTTTAGGTCGCATTGTTGTGCAACGTCGTACTTTTGATAACTTTTTAAATATTCTTTTTATTTCATATTTATTATTGAATTGGGCCGAAGTCCCGGCGATACTGCAATGCCGGGCCAACCCGTGACAGAGGTGGAGCAAGCCCCTAGCACTCCGTCTGATTCCAAAAATCAGTTTAACATTTGTTGTTCTCCAATGGAGAAACTATCAGATGTTAAGCTGATAAGAACAGATACTACACTTTGATCTTAGCCATAAGGCCGAGAAGCGATAACTTGCTATCAATAAATACCCAGGCCTCTATGCAGCCACAGCTAAAACCAGTTGCGAATTATAAACTAACTCGTATGAAACCGACAATGCCTACTTAGGGGTAGTGCTGTGCACAATGTTATATATTTTAGGGGTTGTTCGGATGCAACTCTCCTATATAATATAATAATTCGCAACTAGTTTAGGCATTGCTTAAGGTAGAGTCAAGGTGTTTAATTGGGTTAATTCACTCTGGCTTCTCTTCAGTTGTCGAATAAATCTTTCGCCTTTTACTAAAGATTTCCGTGGAGAGGAGCACTCTAATGAGTCTAAATTGAATTTTTCGTGTGCCTGGTGACTTTTGTTGCCGGGCCATTTAAAAATGCATACAATATTGAAGAAGCGTAATCTGTCAGCTATATATATATATATATATTGCAGTATTGCTGGCATATTTACCAAATGTTTTTACTGTGCTTACCTAATGCGTTTGAACTGTATGCACTCGAGATTTTTATATAGGTTTACAATTATATTTCACAGTTTGAGTGTTCGTAATTTTGGCTTGTAAAATGTCGACACATAAAATTTAATAAGCGCTTTAAATTGCGCCGCACTCGATGTCGGCAGCTGTTGCGCGTCGTTTTTAATGGCCTCCTCCTTGGCAGCCTGCGGCTTGCCTTTTATGTGTGTCAACATTTATGACAGCTACAAAAGTCAATTAGCCTTACCAAACACAAAGTCCCCAAATAGGCATTTCCTTTCTCGCTTTAAGCCAGTTTACTGACTTGCTTTACTCCCTCTTTAATTTGTTTTCTCTTTCTATTGCTTGGCGAATGTTGACATGCAAGTCGCATCGCTTGACTTAAACTGTTGTCTAATTAGTTAGTTGAAGCGTCTAACACATGATGATGAATGCCTAAACAGTTGATACGTGCACAGATAATAGTATAGCAATAGGGGGAGGATGGGATGCATGTTAACTATAGCAAAGAGGGGTGAATTGTGGGTGGCATAATAACTGTGGGCTTCTGCAGGAGAGGCATTGATACAGATTTAATTTAATTGATTTATAGGATTCTACTTTACGTGCTGGAAACCTTTTTAATATTTAATTGACGGTTCAAGGTCTGGTTTTCGAATTCAGAATAATGTTAGCCCTGAAAAAGACTGCCTGCAGAACAGTCGAATTATATTGTCTAATCGAAACAAACAAAATGTTCTAAGCGGCTAAACCATTAACTAAGTTTGTACTTTACTATTATAATTTATAATCTTTATGGATTTGGATGAGTTCTCTTCTGTTTCACATTTCATGACGAAATTATAATAGCCTCTACAAGGGTGTAAATAAAATAAATAAAATGTGCTGTTGAAGGCCTCAAATACAATCATGCCCCCTTTGGATTGGGCATTATTTTCGTATACCTGCCGCGGTAAGCATTTTGCTATTTGTATTTTTATGCGAAGTTTTGATAAGTAAATAATAAAGCAAAAGGGCAACGTATTCATTTATATTAGATACGCAATGGCACAGTGCTGGACATTGATATGGATCCAAATGAAATAAAATGTAAATGAAAGGGAGCGAGAAAACCATTTAAGTTAGATATTTGCCAAATGCCAATTGCAATGAATTAAGCTATAAACAAAATGCAGCTAAGCTGCTTAAGATCTGGTCAGAGATGCTTGGAACCTTTTAAGCACTTCTAATCAACTGAATCGCATTGTGCATCAACGCAGTCTGATTTGCCTGGCTGTGGATATTGCTTTTTCTGTGTGTGTATTTGGCTTATAAATTTAGTCAAAGCACGTAGCGTAAAGTTGGCAATAAATCCGGAAAACCCAACCGTCCGTACCAGCCTCCCCCGCTTCCTCTCTCCCACACACACACACACACACATACACGCAAATACGCACAGGACGCCTGCTGTGTTACACGTGGCGTATTAACAATATCGACATGGGTAAACAAGCCCGGGGGATAGCTCTTTGCTGCTGAGGGGGTGAAAGTAATTTACACTTTTTCGACTTGAACTTTTGCTTGAATTCATTTTGATATTTACTTTCTACTCTCTCTCTATCTCTTTCCCGTTTTCAGTCAAATTAAACCATTCGCTGTGAGGGCAACAAAAATTAACACAAATGTATCATAAAGTGACATATCTCGATGCAGAGCAAGTGCTACCCCAAAGACAGAGACAGAGCCTTGAGCAACCCCAAGGACAAGGACACGTGTTAAACATCCTTATCCATAGTCATTATCAGTGAGGCCAGTATGCCGAACCTTCATCATGTTGACTACAATCGGAAATATTCCGCCACGGAAACGATACAGGTAAGTGATTGCCCGCCAGCCAATACCCTAACCTCTTCAAGTGGCCCCATTTAAAATTCAACTTGAGTGCGGTAATTAAAAATAAGACATTTATTTACGAGCTCTGCCCCTGTGGCACGCGACCCCAACTGGCCGTACCCCTGCATTACCCCCAATACCTGCCCCAACTTGCGTCCATTTGTCGATTTTTCACACCCGCGGACAAGGGTTCATTCTTGCTATCTCTTTCTAACTCTGGATGCCGTCTTGATTGATGCGCACGTTTTGTTGTCTGAGCAGCTCAACAAATTAATTGAAGAGTTTTGTTTTTGGGCCGTTTTTTTTTCTGTTTTCTTTTTGGGCTGGCTGCCTCTGCCTCTGCACACCCTTTTGCCCACTAATTGCTGTCATAAATTTGAACTCTAGTTCGAAATAAACATTCTTGAGGCCGTATACGTCTACGGTGTTTGGATTAATAGCTTAATGGGGTGTATTAGACGTGTGAAAAGTTATGTAACTGGTTAAAGAGGGGGAAAAGTGCACAAAGGGAGAGAAATTATATGTAAATGTGTAATGTATTCATTAAAATGGTGCAATGGGGATTTATGTTTTATATAGATATATCTGAAGCGATAGGTATATACGATTTTTGCATTTTATGAATAATAAATACTATTGGTAGTTTCTTGTTATAAGCGTTCAGTTCTTAAGATTTCGCCTTTGATTGATTGCTTGAGTTGACTTGAAAACGTTATTCATAAGAACTAAATTTTTAACCATGATATTCCGATCTCATATTATAGTCTTTACCTTATACTTGCCTGCCCGGGACTTATTGCATAGATTCAGTTGCTGCTGAAATATATATAGATATATATATAAATATAAACTAGATGGAATGATGTGCCGATCTTATCTGACAGCTTTTACTATAAGTACTGGGACTTGTTGCATAGAATCAGTTGCTGCTGTAGAGTATATACATATCTGTACATATCTATCTTTAATCTATATATTGCTTTATATATCTTATATCTTGTCAATTATTTTATATAGAATCGTATCCGTCACATGTTTGCTTAAATGAGATTTGAATTAGCTTAGAGACTTATCGTTAAGTAATTGCATCCAAGTCGAACAATTAAATGTTGCTGAGGCAGTCAGTCTTCAATTAATTACAAAATTTGTAGAGAAATAAAAATAAAATAAATAAATAAAAATGATCAGCATTTTGATCAGAGTTGAATGATTGAGTCAAGTTTTTTCAAATTTTCTTTTTTGAAATACATTTATATATTTCAAAAATAAATATTTCAAAAACAAACTAAGCAATTCCACGGCCTATGACTAGGTTGGGACTTTATATTATAAAGTATCCAAAATCGTGCCGTACCTACGAGTTAATCATTTTTCTTCACTTGCCTAAATGGTTCGCTTTCTTTAAGAGACCTATCAACCTATCAGCATTATGCATTGCAGGGCATTTGCGAGTCGTTTTGCTTAAGCTGGCTGCTGTTATCTCAGCTTTTGGCGTTCCCACGTCCGTTTTGCTTTGTTGTTGTTGTGGTTGTTGTTGTTGCACTTTTAATCACAAAAACAACAAAAAAGCGTCGGCAAAGTTTGCCGTTGGTCGTGCTTTGTTTTTGCTTTCTGTTGCATACAAAACGGCGCTTCCGCATGCCGTCACATGGCCGGAGTCGAGCCCCAGAATTGTGTGTGTTGTCTCTATATATACAAACATACATAGATACACACACATACTTATATGTATATATATATATATGTATGTGGGTCTGGGTCTGGAACTTGATTAAGTAGTTTCCGCGTGTTTTTATTTGCACAATAAAAGCATAAAATTGTTGCCCGTTTATTAAAGCCGGGCAAAAAGTGGCAGAGCAAAAAGTGTGAAGTGGTCGCTTTTTCCACTGGCGCTCGGCTTTTTGGCAGACAAGGACCAACGGGCGAAATGCTAGACATGCTGTTTGCTATTTAAGCCGCTATTTTTATGGCTTTTGCCGGAATGATGGCGTTATGACTCTATTGTGACACGGCGCCGACGTGCCACAGTTAAAAGTCCATTTGTATTTCGGCATACAACCAAAAAAAAAAAAAGCAAGAACGAATGGCCCGAGACTAGCGTAAACATCATCATGAGCGAAGCTCTTGCCAGACTTTAAACTTTCACAAGGAATTATATATATTGATTGCGGCTTTAACTAAATGAATTTTGATTTAAATTTGATTTATTTTCTCATAATGTCGATAGTCTAATAAGGCAAAATTTAATTAAAGGTTGAAGATTTTCTAGCTCCATACGGGATATTCTAGGCCTTCAAATTGTCTTACTTTGAATTGAGATAAATGCAGACTATCAGATATTTCAAGGTTTGGCTTTTTAGAATAATTCTGCAAATGTAGTCGAAATTGATTTTTTATTTATTTGTTAAAAATATATAAATAAATGGCACTTAATCGTTATCATATTGTTAACTGTTTTCTAATGTTCAGTTTTGTCTGTCTTAGCTCAGGGGGCGGCATAGGGAGGGGTCATCTCATTTTATATATATTTGTATATATTACTGCCATATGGCGCCTCCAGACGCAGGCCATTAAAAATGATTACAAAATGCCGCTACACATTTCCCGGTAAGTGCCTCAAGCAACAAGAATGTTTGCCCCAAGCACCGCCCCACAGCT